AGAACGCATATATAAACTTCGCATGACTTATTTAGTAATCTGTGGTAATTTGTGACATACCCGCCGCGCCAACAATATTTACCGGTTGATGTTTTTGTTTGGAGAAGGAAAGTCGCTTTCTCTGTCTGCCCCTTTGTATGCTTAAATCTTTGAAACTACGCAACGGATTTTGATGCGGTTTTTTACTTCCGTGCGAAGCCGGGGCGGGTCGCTAGCGATGCGACTGGCAGAGAATGCCTTACGGCATTAAGTCCGCCTTTTGTACAATATTATGTTATTGTGTAATAAAGTTTAAATAAATTAAAATAAATAAGGCAGTACGAAGTTCGCCAGGTCAGCTAGTAAAATATACAAAACTAGCTGTTGCCCGCGACTTCGTTCCGGCAGTGTTTAATAAAAATGTAATTCGTTTTTACTCTCTTGTCCTAGACATACTCGTAGTAAGAGTCAATTCTATCAATAAAATTAGCAATTTTAATTTAAAGAAATTAATTATATAAAGTTATGTCAATAATGCACTTCAGCGCGCCATCTCGAATTCAACTACTTAACTATAACTATGATTGAATCTCAATGTCAAATTTTATTCTATAGAAAAGAGCTGGTTTGAGGATTTTCCCGGCAATTATTCAAATTTTTGTCACCTTTTAAACCTTCCCTAGACCTCCACGAATAATTCAAGACCAAGATAAGATAAATCCGTTCAGCCGTTCTCGAGTTTTAGCGAGACTAACAAACAGCAATTCATTTATATATATATAGATAATAAAAATGTGTTGGGTAATAATTTTGTAATTTTTTAAAATTAAATTTTTTTAGATTAGCCAATCATTGGTTGCAACTCATACAAGTGTTTGAAATTCCACTATGGACATTAATACTACTTTCAGCAGTATTTACATTGGGATACTTTTGCTTAGAAATATTTCTACAGCAATCTATAGCAAACACACCAATTCTGATGGTTTTGCGTTTGTTTTTATTGCAACCATTGACTAACTATGAAATACCACGTCATTTCCGTCCCCGTTTTATCCTAGCCCTTGTATTAATGTTAATAGTAATATATTCATCATTATTTTCATCGGGTGTTGTTACTCAAATGGTGATGCCTAAGTATGAGCCAGGAATTAAAACAGAAGATGACATTGAGAGACATGGTTTGATAAAAATCGCTTATAACAACTATAGTAGTTCGATATTTGATCAAAATAGACTATTGCTTGAAGTAAGTTGGCTTATATGTTCATTAATAGCATTTTATATTTAATTATATTTAGAAAGTGGATGCGCTTAAAAAATTGAATCAATACAAAATGGAAATTGCGCAGAAAATAAGGAGTGGTGCTCGATTTGCCGAGCAAACAATTGTATCCGGAACAGGATGTACGCAATATTATCATTTTTATAATTTTTTGTAATTTTTTTTGAAACGAGTTAATTTCAGTATCAATGAATAGCAAGACATTGTATAATAATTATCAACAGCTAAAAGATGGTAGTCAATGGGGTTATACTCATATTATGGCACGGAACAGTGCGTATGCTTCTTTAATTCCCGAATTAAATGATTTTATCTTGAGATGCAGAGAAACTGGATTAACTATAAAGTGGGAATGGCAAATGTACATGGCACGCTATTATATGGAGGAAATTTTAATGTTTTTAGACAATAGCCCGAAAGCAATCGAACCAAAGAAACTAACACTGGAAATCTTACAAGCGCCATTTTGGTTTTATGCATTGGCATGTTTCTTGCAACTTGTATTTTTTTGATTGAAATATTGTGTTGTTTGGTTAAACATGTCAAAGGCTTAATTATTATAACCATATAAAAATTTATTTTAATCAAAATTATAATCTATATATATATATATATATATAAATGAATTGCTGTTCGTTAGTCTCGCTAAAACTCGAGAACGGCTGAACGGATTTATCTTATCTTGGTCTTGAATTATTCGTGGAGGTCTAGGGAAGGTTTAAAAGGTGAGAAAAATTAGAATAATTGCCGGGAAAATTCTCAAAACAGCTCTTTTCTATAGAATAAAATTTGACATTGGGATTCAATCATAGTTATAGTTAAATAGTTGACTTAGAGATGGCGCGCTGAAGTGCATTATTGACAAAACTTTATATAATTAATTTCTTTAAATTAAAATTGCTAATATTATTGATAGAATTGACTCTTACTACGAGTATGTCTAGAACAAGAGAGTAAAAACAAATTACATTTTTATTAAACACTGCCGGAACGAAGTCGCGGGCAACAGCTAGTTATTAAATAAATAATTACATGACAAAATCAAAAATTAAAAAGAAAATAAAAATGTGCAGGTTTCCGTTAAACTAAGAACATGCGCTTAGCGTTGTATTTGCATATTTATTTCTTGAGATAATTAAAAGGTTTTGCATTATTTATCCATAATTTACACATTTTAATTGGATCATTTTAGGAATTACTGTCACACTCTGGCATTAATAAAATAAGAAAGTTACTATAACGTCTAGAACTGCAAAAATTAGGCAATTGGAACACAAATTAAATTTGTTTCATGCCAATATCACAAAATGTAAAATCTGTGTAAAAGAGAAGTTAAAGATGAACTCGTCAAACTGGTTTCTTTTTAGCAAACATAATTGCTAGAATTAAAAACAAATTACATTAATCTCTAAGCTATATCACAGCTGTATTAAAATAAAATTTCCAGAGCAAACAGTGAATGATATTCATTTGTGTAAGTTAATTGATTTGTTTGGTTTTGTTTTCATTGTAATTAACTACAAACTTATTTGAGTATTATTTGATGAAAATGCTTTCTTTCTTAATTCTAGTTGACCTCCAAAACTTTTGAACTTTTGAATTAATCAACAACGAAATTTTATTAAATTGGTAAACTGTTTTAGAGTGTTTCTGTGGTTGTAGACTACGATAGACTGCTGTAATTTGTTGCTGTTGGTGCATTGCAGCAGTTATTATTGAGGCTATTATGCAGTCTAATAAATTCACTCCGGAAACTTTTCAAACAGTTCAAGTATTTAAACTGGAAGTGAATGTAAAACTTCATCATCGTTTGTCTGCCGCCACCATCACAAACAAAGCACGAGACATTGACAAAGGGGGAATACTTTCAAAATATTTAGGAAAAGTTTCGTGGGTGCAAGATTAACCTTTTCATCTTTTCGTCTTCAGAACTTTAACTTTTGAGTAATATTTTGTTCTATATAATTCATTCAAATTGGATCATTATTTCATCTGTATAATGCCAAATTTCAAATTAAATTATTTATTCTTAAGTTTTTAAAATACAATAATACGGAACTGTTGAAACAAGATCGCTACCGTATCTCACGAGAATTACATGCATCTGAGGCGTGTGTATGCGATTAATAAATGTGCGAAAATTGCGAAATAAACGCGGATGCGAGTCGGCTAATTACCGCATAACGTAAACGTATTTGTATGCTCGCCAAGGTCGACTCGGGTCAAATAAAGATTTACGCTGGCAGCTCCAGAAACAATAAAAATTAAGTCGAAATTTTTAAAATTTAAAAATCCGTGTAAATTAATCTTCCTCTATCTCCAGAATCATATCTGTTACAAAATACTTACTAAAATTTAACTTTTTAATAGAAAATTTTAATTTTTTGCACAATTAATACCAGATTTAATAAAAAAAATATGTTTTTATGATCTGTTATGCTTTGATAGTACATTTGTTGGCGTGTAATTAGTGTGAGTACTGTGAATTAAAATTAATCATCGATTAGTCATTGACGTGTTAATTACGCACACTGATTGGCCTTGTGTGGCGCTCAATCAAGAGAGAATTTTCATAATTCAATTTCATTGTTTTGCCCGAAATCGTAAATTCATGTGATTATTTCGCATTTACTGCGTGCGGCGAAGAACACAATGACATTAAACTTTAGCATTGAAATCCAATTAATCCACGCGCTAATTAAGTACCAACCAAAAACCACAAAACGGAAGAAATTTAATTCATTCCATTGCCAATATCATAACTTATTTTTATTTTATTTTGCACAAAATGCATTCGCAATCTGGTTAAGGTATCCTTGGTGTTCTGTTAATATCAGAAATAAAAACATGTTCCACCATGCACATGTCAAGACTTAATTCCAGTTTTATCAATCGCACGGTAATTAAACAGGCGCATGATCACATCGAAATTAACATGCATGAGGCGTTGTATGCGTACACATTTCTTAATTCCGCACACATGAAGTTTAATCTCACTGCGAATCAATCAGTAGGAGTAGAAATATCTAATTATCAGTTTAATGCACCACGGCTTGAAGATATTTAATCGTTTTTCATTGATAAATTGCCTTGTTAAAAGCGAGCATGGTCAAACACTATGCATTTTACTACATAACGCAAGTAATTAATTAATAAGCAAGTATTTAATTGAACTAGACACAATTTTTAAAAATTAATTTGCAGGAAATCACTGCAATTGCATATCAAAATCAAAAATTATTTTGTATTAATTATTTTATGACTAGCTTTAACCCTTGGCTTCGCTCGCGAATATCTAAAATATTAAAGTTGCTTCCGTATGCGTCTGTAGTCACAGAAGAAGTAACAATGAAGTAGAATGGCGGGAAGTTTAAAATGGCTGAAAGTATAGTCTATGGAAGTATAGTGTACAGTCTCCATAGTGTAGTCAATTGGATTTGATGTTGACGTAGCTGTCGGTAATACAGTGTGATAATACAGTGTGATGGTACTATAGTACTTAGGTTTGAGCTTCATTGCTGGAATGCTAGATGGCGTTAAAGTAGTCAAATAGCCAGATGCAGAGGTATTATTGGCAAAACAATTTCTTTATTTTATTTAAAAAATAATTTTTTTTATTAAATAAAAAGTAGCCTATAACTATTCGGGGACCACTAAGAATATGTGTACAAATTTTCATGATGATCGATTAAGTAGTTTTTGCGTGAAAGTGTAACAAACATCAGGACTTTCGCATTTATAATATTAGTAGGGATATTGAGTCCAAATCATTTTTACAACCTGAAATTTATTGAATTTTAATGTTTATCTTAAAAATTATGAGTAAATAATTACCAACTAAAATACGTATTGCATTACCGCAGTGTTCTTTGACTTCCGGCAGCCATTTGCTTTTCAAACTATCTAATGTACCGATTGTAGCCAAATTAAAACAAAACAAAATGATATCAACCTAAAAGAACATTAAATTCTTTCATTAACTTTTCTGTTTCTTGAAAATCAATAATAATTATTGATTAATACCTCTGCGTATTGTAAGAATCTCAGTGACTTAAATTCTGGTAATGCTGAACAGTCCCGAATGTGTAATTCGTGGTACTTTGAATATTTAACATATTCATTGATTCTGTAAACAAGAAAGTATAAATTTTCTCAATTTACTTTTAATTTTTTTATAAAATTACTTACACTGTAGGCGAATGATTCATCAAAAACGTCTCTTTGACATATCGTTCAATTAGGGAGGTTTTCCCTACGGCTTCATCACCGATAACCAAAATTCGTACTTGTTTCATGGTTATTTTAGTGTTTTTGTTACATTTTACAATGAATCACAAAGAATACTGAGTAGATTTAGGTGTAAAACATACAAACTGCACTAGATTTATAAGATAAGATAAGAGAGATAATTATTAGTAATTGAGAATGATTGTAATAATGATATAATTGATAAGAATGCTTGAAATGTGTGAAATTCTGTTTTGAATTGTGAAGGACATTACAGAGTTTTGTTTGGTAGAATAGTATGAGACTTGAGCGGCAGAGGGCGCTGCATGTATCAGCTGTGAGTTTATTCGGTGAGTTTATTTCGTGGCGTGATGTCGAGTTTTATCTAACGTGCAATGTATCAAAACAAAGATAACAGTGAAAACAAAACACAACGAATGCAGATATATAACAAAACATAAACGTGCAGTGTTTAGTTTTTAAGACGTAGTGTAGACGTGAGTAAGACATTTCGTTTTAATTATTTCTTTTACAAAACTTAAAATTGCTAGAATTTAAGCAAAAATATGACAATAAAATTGTGCGCGTGTGTGTGGTTCAATGACAAATTATCGGGTTCAATTAGAGGCGACTCATCACCATTAAATGTATGTATTTCAATTTATTTCTATTTATCTCTTGAGTGAATTCTTTTTACATTGCGGCCGTGTCGTATATTGACTATTATTTCGTCTGAAATGTTTCAGTCTTCATGTAGTAGTAAATGGTGTATAATTAGTTGCATATCACTATGAGTCTAATAAGTCTGCAGAATTTAAAAAAATATGTCAACAATGATAATTTATATGATATTTATAATGACTTTTAGCAATATATTTAAAAGTAATTTTGTGATATTATCCGGTGAAACACTAAAAATGTTTTGTTATCAAACAAAACAAGAGATAATATCAATAATTAATAATTTAAAATTGAATTATTCTTAATTATTGATATTAATAGTAATTTTCATCACTTTTTTCAATTTTTAACTCACAATTGATACCAAAAATGACAAATTCTATAAATTTTCGTAAATAATTACTAAAAATAATTTTAACAAGCAGAAAATTTAATATATTAACCACAATTTTTCCCAAATCAATTTTTTTCTCTGTTAATACGCCAGGATAATGATCGTCTGACCGAAAAGCGCATTTATTTTCTTCGCTCCCTCGACGTCTAGCTGTTTCTAAACGATAGACGTCTTCACTCACTGCTAAGCACCGCTTTCCTTTTCGTTATCATCATTATTATTAGGTTTACGTAGTGCACATTCGCGTGGAGCCCGGATTCATTCAAACGACTTTTCGCTACACAAAAGATTCTTTGTTGAAGCTCAACGAAAATTCAAACAAAAGTGGCAAAGGTATTCTGATATCAAACCACATTTAAGTGACATTCCACGCAGGGTAAATGTATTTAGAATTGTATAAACTAAAATTTTATTTTATTTATTTGCTTCTCCCAGCGGTTTAGGCACATGTTGTGTAAACTAGGATTGTACCCGAGAGAGCAACACTTTTTGCGCACGTTTCGATGTTCCGATCGTAATTTCAATAAATAACAAAATGTCCAATGCATTATTTATGTAGAAATTTACCAGAACACTTGACTACAAACTTGACTATGCGAATGTAATTCTTTTATCCGACTGCTGCCAGGTAGATAACTTGGAGCCGTGCAAAATTTAAACTTTCTCATCTTTTACTCAGATGCGGAGATACAGCAAGCACCAGGTCTAGGAGTATAATTCCCGACACTTACACACCTTTATTCAGAGCGAAATAATGAAAGAACGAGAGCACTCGAAAGGGCTCAAACCTTCGCGAGGAGAAAATAAAATAAAAACGATCTCGCGCTTCACTCGAGCGGATAGATAAATGAATGAAAAATTTCGCGAAAACTTTTCTAATTATAAAAGACAAAAGGCGCCCGCTTTCGTCCAGACTGCCGCCGGCGTCATATTTCAATCCAGTTCTTCTGTAACCGACTTTTAAGCTGAAATTAACGCTGCGTAACGAGCAATTAAAACACAATTTCCTTTGCTAAATCCTCAACAGATAAATTCAACATCTCTAGAAAATAAAAATAAAACGTTTAAATAAAAAATATCTAAAAATATTCCAGAATAAAAATTTTTCTTACCAAAATGCAATTAAGTTAAGTTTGTTCAGTATTACTGAATGCATGGTGAATTATGATGAAATATTCTCGTTAGTCGAGTGTCGCCCAAAACCTCGCCCCGGATATGAAAACGTCTAGGCGAGAGAAACCCTTTCTCATGCTAAAGTAGTATCCGTAACCGGAGGGCAAGCAAAAATTGCTGCGTTAATATTATAACCTTTCCTTCAGCGCCTCGCGATCATAAAGCGCCTCCGGCGTGTTCAGCCCACGCCGTAGTTCATGACTTTATGATCCTCCCACTCGAGTGCAACCCTTCGTTACTCTATGATCCGGGCGCCTACCGTCGAGAGCCGGCGATCAACCAGCCGAAGATGCGAGCAGCGTCAAGATGTGGTAATTAACTTTGATAATCGCGTAATAATGTGCTCGTAAACACTGACATTTTACTTTCGCCTGTAATGGAAAATAAATTTATATATGAAGCACTTTTTTATCGCAAAACTTATTTAAATTTGATTTGTTTTAAGAGGTTAGGGACGGATTACTCGTATGTTACTCGTGATAGTTACGGATTTCTTCGTTTCGGATAAAAACGTCGCTAGTGTCGATTTTTACAGTTTCCTACTATTCTACTATTAATACTGAGAAACACATGTCATAAACGAAAGATATTTTAATTACTAATTAGCAAAAGGTAAATTAATGTGACATTCGCAGCAAAGAATATCTTGTTTACTCATTACCGCTTCACATTTCGCTTCCTACGTAAGTATTGACCTAGTTACAGAAATGTCACCGCTTTAAGCTCGACGCTCGGCTTTATCTCCACTTCAATCTCTCATTACACGTTGTTTACGTGACGCAAAAAATACAGATCTTTAGTATTCATTAATTGCATGCTTTGTATTGAAATTCTCATTAAATCCGTAATGAAGTTGCTCGTTAAAGAAACGACATTTAATAGTATCTTGATGATAATACATCAAAATACGTTTTATTCAAAAAAAATATTGTTGCCAATTACATTAGTGAATAATTTATTTAAAAGCAGAGTTTAAGCACGTTCCTAAAGCTAGAGCTCATCAACGCAATTAATAGGCGCTCGTTATTCGTGCATTTCAATGACGGCTAATTAGTATCCTGTACAGTGTGCAATTATTGCGCGGAATTTACGTGTTAGAATTTGCACGATCTCTCATTCATTCACTCTGAAATAGTATAATCAACGTTTTGTCAATTAATGTTTATATATTCGTAGGAATTAATAAATCCCTACTAATATTATAAATGCGAAAGTCCTGATGTTTGTTACACTTTCATGCATAAACTACTTAACCGATCATCATGAAAATTTGTACACATATTCTTAGTGGTCCCCGAATGGTTATAGGCTACTTTTTATTTAATAAAAAAAAATATTTTTTAAATAAAATAAAGAAATAGTTTAGCCAATAATACCTCTGCATCTGGCTATTTGACTACTTTAACGCCATCTAGCATTCCAGCAATGAAGCTCAAACCTAAGTACTATAGTACCATCACACTGTATTATCACACTGTATTACCGACAGCTACGTCAATATCAAATCCAATTGACTACACTATGGAGACTGTACACTATACTTCCATAGACTATACTTTCAGCCATTTTAAACTTCCCGCCATTCTACTTCATTGTTACTTCTTCTGTGACTACAGGCGCGTACGGAAGCAACTTCATTATTTTTGAAATTCGCGAGCAAAGCCGCGATTTAATGCTAGTTACATATAAATGTTGAGTGGGTGCGCTTTTCGAATGAAATACAAGTTGGAATTAAAATTAATTTACGTGTCTTTTATATTCAGCTGGAAATTAAAAGTGTTCATCTGCGGTTGGCAGGACGACGTGATGCTATGCAAGAATTTCTTCCATTTCTTCCCCATGCATTATCTGACGAACCAAATGACAGTGCTGGGCGCACACGAAGTGGATATATTTCTGTCCGACACGCTGCGCGCTCTGCGAAATGAAAAGCGGTCGGTGAAAATACGTGAAAAATTACATTTTAAATACGTTGCGTTTGTGCCAGTCGGGAGCGCTTTGAATTAGAACCAAGACAAGAATGAGAATAAGAACGGAAGGACGAAAGATCCTGGGTTAAAGGAAAAAATTGTTGAGTGTTGGAATGAATCAATGAGTACGTGCTTGCGACGGTGTGAGAAAAACCTAAAAACGAGACGTGTACGACTCAAGCACGCAGAAAAAAAAACGAGAAAAAGAAAACGGTGAGTGAGTGAACGGGCAGTTAAAAAGGACTTAAACAAAATTGAACAATGGTGAATACGGGCGTATGAGTGACGGACATGAGGACAAAAAATACACTTACATGCAAAGCGGAATAAAAGGGAAAACGTTGAAAAACATGACGTTTTTTATTATTTTTTGCGTTTCTTTGAGGATATATTGGATTATTTGTAGGCAAAAAGTCATTTTTGTTGAATTTATGAATAACTGCTAAAAAAATAACTTCTGGCATCGCGCGAGCCATACCCGTGACTAAAGTACTTTACTCACGTCTTTAGTCATCCGTGTGTAAAATATCACTTTTTATGTCTCAAAACCATAAAAATTAACGTTTTAAACCTGAAAAACAAAAAAAAATGATCTCTGGATTGTAGCCAACCATCTATAACTATTAAATATTACTATTAGCATATACATTGTTTGGAAAGCATTTTAATAATGAGGATATTATTCAGGATGACCGTCATTAATATTCTTCCTCTGCGCGATTAGTCTGTTCCTGACAGGCCCATTTTTAACATATAACTTTCCATCGTCTAAATATTTGGCTTCTAAATACGCATCATTAATTTTATATATTAATCATCATTTACAAAATCTATAGTTACAAACTTTTGCGAGAAAGAAAATTTAGTGATTTTCAATCTTGCGTAGTCGTATCTTTGTTGGATATAAAGTTAAACCAAGT